CAATGGGGGGCTCGATCCCAGGACCCCGGGATCATGACCCGAGCCGAAGGCAGATGCTTAACGAATGAGCCACCCAGGTGCTCTTACGTGGAGGTTCTTAAATCTGAGTGAGCACGAGAATTACGGAGGGTGCTTATTAAAAGTGCATTTTCTGCTTCAGAAGTATTGGTGCAACACCTAGGAATATGCCTTTTTTATCAAGCACTCACTGGCTGATTCTAACACAGGTGGTTCATGAATTGGACTGAAGGAAAGATTATCATTCCCATTTTATTGCTGGAAAAACTGAGGCATATGACTTGGCTAAATAACTTGGCCAAAATTACATGCTTAGTAAGTAGCAGGCTCAAGAGTTAAACCGAGGTCTTTGAGATTCCAAACACCATTCCTTGCCCTGACATTGCACTTCATTAGTATCCCTCCTCGTAGTACAGACAGGTCTTTTATTTTTCCAGAGAGAAAGTTATAATTGAACCTGACTTTAGAGATCTGAATCACAGTCCAGTTATGTGTACCGTGGACATATAAGTGCATTGTTGATTTTGAATTCAGATTAATTGCTTTTTAGTGGGGGAAAAAAAATGAGCTTGCAAAAAATTTTTATAATATGATTATGCATTTTCCTTAATTTAATTTCTATTTATCTTATTAAACTTGGTTTGTCTCCCAGCAAAGTATCAATTTGGTAAATAGCATCTGTAACAGTCACTTGATCATAGGTCTTAAAAGCTACCCAGTACCTTATTTATATTGTGTAAATTATTAAGTGTATCCATGCTTCATATCTAATGCCCCAACTTTCTGCCACTCTGCACAGTGCCACTCTAGCTCTATCAGAAGTTTCTTACTAAGTAAAATAAGCACACTATGTGGAATCGCGATTCCCATGCCCTAGGAATCTGCCCTACTAAATAGACTAACATGGAAAAGATGGGAGAATGGCAGAAGAGATTCCAGAGCAAAGAGCTTGCAAAATTTGATGATAAGTGGGCAGCCTCTTCAGTAATGTTCTCTAATTTATTCTTTAAATCTAGAGGGGTATTTTTCTTTCTCTCTCTCTCTTTTAATAACATCAAGTTATATACAGCTGTGTCCTTGTTGTCTAGAACCAAGAAGTGGTGGACTTTGAAAAGTTGGATGACTACGCTTCTGCCTTTCAAGGTCATGATGTTGGATTTTGTTGCCTGGGTACCACCAGAAGAAAAGCTGGAGCGGTAAGGAAGACATAGACCCCTCTCCCTTTTGCTGTCTGGTAATGTCAACTATTCCTTTCTTGCTTACTCTTTTTCTTTACATCCGTAGTGCTTACATGTAATAAGCTCTTATCATTTGTGATTTCATATGCTGCTGTAACCTTTGCTATACTTTGAATAGTACTGATAAATTTATCTTTCCTTCAAAGTAATCCTTGAGTTCAGGCCTTCGTGCTGGAGACATCATAAATATTTACAAGGTCTTGCCTCTTGCAAATAATTGCTGTCACTACATCCCCTGACTAAGGCAGACCATTACGTCTGAGTAAAAGTAACTGGCTCATGCTGTTAGCAATAAGCTTTTTTTTTCCTTATAAATGTTTGAAACTTAAAGCATTCTCTCTCACATAAATGATTTGCTTCAACCTGTTTTCATGCCAAGTTTTAAATTTATGGTATAGAACATCAGAATAGAGGCACGATTCAGCTGCCTTTAGTGATGACTCAGCTTTCAGTGGTGATTCAGCCCCAGTGGTGATTCAGCCCTAACTGACGCAGACTGTTCTAATCCACATTTTATCTTCTTTTTAATGGTATTCTAAATCACATCAGCCTCTGTCCAGAAGTCCTAGGTTACTATCTAGTTAAAAGTCATTGCTTACTACGTAGATCCTCAGCAAGTGTTAATACCTCTTAATTTATACCTTGACTATAGTTTATTCCTCTCGCAGAGGAATAGTTGGAGCTAAAAATGTTTATTTATTTATTATTATTTTTAGAGAGAGTGTGCAAGAGTGAAAGTTGGGGGGAGGGAGATGGGAGGGGCAGAGGGATAGAATCCCAAGCAGGCTCCGCGACTAGTGTGGAGCCCGAAGTGGGGCTCGATCTCACAACCCTGAGATCATGACCTGAGCCAAAATCAAGAGTTGGACGCTTAACCAGCTGAGCCACCCAGATGCCCCTAAATGTGTCTATTAAGGTATTATGCTATTATGGTAGCAGGATCAGGATGCTACCATGGGGCCTTATCATAGATTTATAAACAGGCCCATGTATCAGAATCATTAGGAAGGCACGTGGTTAAGAACTATTGGTTTATACCAACTAAGGAGTTCAGCTCAAATGTATTTCTCTGGCCCTGTTGGTGATCCAAAGAATAATTCTATTTATGCTTTTGGTAGGGATGTATTTCCAAATCTTCTGCAGTTCTGTCATGTCCACTTTGGAACCCAGCTGGGTTTTGAGCTCTGTGCTGGGACGTATGGATTATAGAGAAGTTTGACTCTCCCAGGAACTGGCACATTGTGTCTCCTAGAAAGGGTCATTATCCTGCTCAGCAGCAAGTACAGTCATTTCTGTCCCAGCGACAGTCACAAGCAACGTGCCCTCTAAAAAGCATTGAAAAACTTTTGTTCTAGTACACTGCAGGTTGAACTGTCTCAGGTGCCAGGCTGATTTTGGTGGTGACTCAGCAAAATAAAAACGACTGCATTAGGCATAGAGCAGTTGATTTTCATCACATAAGGCAAATCTCATTATAGGGTGCTCCAAGAAAAAGTTGAAATTGCTTTGTTGCATTCAAATTTTGTAAAGCAATTTTAATCAGAGGAATTGGATGTCTTCCCTCTCCGGAATATTTTTTTTAGGTGGAGTTGGTTCCCCACCCGTTAGGCTACGCAATACCTTTTGTTCTCCAAAGTCAGTTTGAAAAGATAAAAGTATTCATGGGTAAGCAAGAGAAAAAAAACTAGTAAGCCAAATATAACCTCAGAAATGAGTTGGGGGTTAAATGGTTCAAGAGGACAGTGACAGAAAGTAAGCTGACATTTCCTCCAGAATGTCTTTTTTAAAAAAAATTTGATACTAATTTCTATTGGATGCAATATAAAGTTTGGAGGTTGGGATAACTTTGGGCAATTTAAAAGAGGTGATGGTTCACAGGTGGTTAGGTAATAATAGTTGTTTGATGGGGGATTGTGGATTTCCAAGCTCACCCTACCTGGTATTCTGGGTCAGCAGCCCTGTCTGTAGACAAAGAGCTTATCAGGTAGTTACTGAGATGCAAGCCTGGTGTCATTCATTCTGTAGCTGTTTTGTAACTGGAACATCCCACAGTTTTCCTTAGTGGTAGAACTTTCCAGTAGAAAAACTTGAAGAACTTCAGGGTTTCTGTCTCATTATTGACACCCTCGGGGTAGCCATCTTATTTCCCTTTGATCTTCAGTGTGTGAATTTGCTGAGGTTCTTACACAAAGCACCATACCCAGGGTGGCTTCAACAACAGAAGTCTAGTGTCTCACAGCTCTGGCGGATGGAAGTCTGAGATCAAGGTGTTGGCAGGTTTGGTTCCCCTGAGGGCTGTGAGGGAAGGAACTTCCAGGCTTCTCTCCTTGACTCCTAGATGACCGCCTTCTCTCCGTGTCTCTTCATTCGGCATTTTTCCTGAGTGTGTGTGGCTATGTCCAAATATCTCCTTTTTACAACAGCACTAGTCCAGGTAGATTAAGAACCACCACACTCAGTATGACCTCACCTTAATAACATCAGCAATGACCCCGTTTCCGAATTGGGTCACATTCTGAGGTAGTGGAGGTCACGACTTCAACATATGAGTGTTGGGGAAACGATTACAACCCATAAAATTCAGGCTATTCAGATTTCCCCTGAAACTGGTGTCGGGATAGGTCTGTTAGCTTTTTCAGCTGTTTGGAAAACCATTTTGTTTAGTCGTGTTTGATGCTGATCTTTTTCACACTCACAGGCCCCAGTTGCCCAACAGTGCAGTGGCTTCCTTACTTGGCCCCAGTTCAGATCTACTGGGTCAGAATCTCTAAGGCTGGAAGCTTGGCAACTATTTTTAGCAAGCTCCTTGGGAAATTCAGACGCAGCCAACCCTCCTCTTGTTGGACCTGCTTTCGCAAAGCATTAGGATGTGTTAGTCTTCCTCTTCCTGCTGCTTTTCTAGGTACTGGAGTCCCAGATGGCCTTCACCTGGCTTTCAGAAGTAACTTGTGTGCTAGTGAAGGTTGTAATACCCTTTGAAAACCAGATCTACTTTGGCCTGGGGTGTGGAGCAGAAACGCACAGATGTCACTGAGAATAGTGCTTTCCCCTTATTTGTCTTCAGAGAAGGATGTGGTTCATGAGTTTGAGGTGGTGTAATGTGGTTTCACCTCTCCATGCGCTTCCTCACGGTCCAGGTTCTTGGATTCTGTTGAATAGACAATGCCAGAAATGCGATTAAAGCCGCCGTTGTAACATTTATGAGGCATCATTAGAGTCTCCTGGCTTCTGATTCGAATCAGAATGAAACATTCTTCTAATCCAGGGGCTTCCGGACCACAGGCTCTGGGCCACATACAGCCTACCTGTTTTTGTATAGCCCATCGAGCTAAGAATGTTTTTATATTTTTAAATGGCTAAAAAATGTCAAAAGGAGAATAATATGTCATGACGTGAAAATACAAGAAATTCAAATTTCAGTATCATAAATAAAGTTTTATTGGAACACAGCTGCTGTCATGACTTTGTATATTATCTGTGGCTGCTCTTGTTCCGTGATGGCAGAGCTGTGTCACTGTAACAGAAGCCTGCAAATCTGGAAGTGTTTGCTATCGCATCCTTTTTTTTTTTTTTTTTAAAGATTTTATTTATTTATTTGACAGAGAGAGACACAGCGAGAGAGGGAACACAAGCAGGGGGAGTGGGAGAGGGAGAAGCAGGCTCCCCACTGAGCAGGGAGCCCGATGCGGGGCTCGATCCCAGGACCCTGGGATCATGACCTGAGCCGAAGGCAGACGCTTAACGGCTGAGCCCCCCAGGCGCCCCTCTTTTTTTTTTTTTTTTTTTAAGATTTTATTTATTTGACGGAGAGAGACACAGCGAGAGAGGGAACACAAGCAGGGGGAGTGGGAGAGGGAGAAGCAGGCTCCCCACTGAGCAGGGAGCCCGATGCGGGGCTCGATCCCAGGACCCTGGGATCATGACCTGAGCCGAAGGGGGCGCTTAACCGACTGAGCCACCCAGGCGCCCTGCTATCGCATCCTTTACGGGGAAAGCTTGCCGCCTCCTGCTGTAATGTGTACTGTTTGATTCGATGTCTAGAAAGGGCTTGTGAAGTCACAGGGCCCCCAGTGACTTGAGGCTCTCTGTTTGGATGCCAAGTAGCCATGGGGCCTTGGGTGTGCTGGGTCGCTCCCCTGGGCCAGTGCCTCCTCGTTGGTACCGAGAAGGAGGTGACCACTGACCCCGTTAGCCTGCAGAATTCTTTGACTTCCATCACCCAGAGAAAAGAAGGCCCTAAATGGAAACATTTTGTGAGGACGTAGAGATGGACTCAGGAATCTCAGTTATCTGTTTGATTTTCTTTTTCTATCCAGAGCTTTTTCTCTAACCAAGATCTTGGTTCTACCACCGTACATCAAATATAGAGATGCCTTCCAGAAATACAAACAAATGGGGTCTCAGATTATACCATTTGTTGTTTGTCAGCATCTCTGTCTTGTAGTCTAATTTATAGGGCTGGCTTGAAATGGAAGTAAAGGAGAAAGAATCTGAAGCAGGAATATGGCTAAGTGCGCCCCTTTACAGAATGGCAGATCCTCCCTCCTTGGAGAAGGATGCCCCGGATGTTGAGTCATTGTGGCATGCTCTCTGGTCATGCCCGTCACTGCTGAAATACCTTGTTAGGAGAAGTTGTTCCTAAGCCGACGTGTTCCTAGTTTTCAGGATTGTGTAAAGATTAGAAGAAATACTTAGTAGCTTTGGATTTTAATAAGATTTAAAGAGTAATTGGAGAATTTGTCTCCCTTGATGATTGTGGAGCCTGTGAAGGTAGCTCTGCTGAGTCATATTACATTGCGCTTATTCTTTTGAGTGGGTGTTGGGAAAGGAAATTTATAGTGGGAACTTATTTAATCAATTCCTTTTTCTAGAATGAACTCTGATTCCTAGCTAAAGTAAGACACACTGACTGTAGGGGCGCCTGGGTGGCTCAGTTGGTTAAGCGACTGCCTTCTACTCAGGTCATGATCCTGGAGTCCCGGGATCGAGTCCCGCATCGGGCTCCCTGCTCAGCAGGGAGTCTGCTTCTCCCTCTGACCCTCCCCCCTCTCATGCTCTCTCTATCTCATTCTCTCTCTCAAATAAATAAATAAAATCTTAAAAAAAAAAAAAAAAGACACACTGACTATAGAATCATAAAGACACTGTAACAGAATGGACTTAATGCTCTCAGAAGAGATGTCTTTTCTCCTGCCATATGGTTAGGGAAACTAAATATGGTTTTTCTGGGAAAACACATGAAAACTGTGTTTCTGGGATATGAAGTATCTTGTTTCTTCTGTTGTTGTTTGTTTGGTTGGTTTTTTTTTTGCACCGTTAGAGAACAAGAAAGGATGTTAATAAGATTTTAAAGATAGCTTCCTTCTATCTCTAAATGGACTCTTCCTCACTGCAGAGAAAATTAGTGTGTGTTGGCATCTCCAAGTCTGTCACCAGGATCCACGTTTAAGTTTGGTTTCTAAGTCCTTGAAAGCCGTTGACCCCTTTGCTTTTGAGTTTCATTCACCAGCTAAAAGGCCACGCATCAGGGTGGGGGAAGTGGGCTTGGAAAAATGCGGATTTATAATCAGCTTGGGGTCTCGGAGGATTTGTGAAATCATTTTGGATTAACAGCCATTGATTGCTAATAAGACAATATTTAGCTTTGTCCAGAGAACAGCAGTGGAGAAAGATACGGGCACCTTGTCAACAGGGCCCATTGAACAGGGGTGACGGGCTAAGTGTGGGGGTCTCTGCAGCAGCGTGGGTGCTCGTCCTTCACGGGGCCGTTGTCAGTTGTTAGCCAGGCCCGTGAAAGGAAGGACGCCAGAGTCTGATGGCTAGGGTGGTATTGATGTGCTTTAGCTGACTAATCAGATTGAAAAAGTCCCATGGCACTTATGTCACTTTAATTTTCATCAAACAATTGGAGATGGCAGGACTCTATTAAGGAGAGGTTGATCCAGAACTAAAGCCAAATAAATTAGGGTCTCAGTTTAATCAAATTACCCCTTTACTGGCCCTGGATTAAGCGAGAGAGACAGCGTCGGTCCAGGGACTTGTGATTGGCTGAATCTTTCCTTTATTTTTAAAGAAGCTGGTGAAAGAAAAAAAGCATTTTAACAGAGACAACGATGATAACGCTTCCAAGAAATAGTGCCAAACAGCAGCAGCAACGAAGAGGAATTTATTTCACTAGTCAGCGCTGTGATTTCATTGTGAATAACAGAGCTGGGCTCGAAATCAGAGTTTGGGGATTCCTCCCACACACGTAAAATCTCAATTTGGAGAACGGCTCTGAGGAGACTCACGTCCCTTTCTCAGGAGGAGCAGAGCAGTAAACTCGGTTTGCTTCACACGGGTGTGAAAGAGCCGCATCGGGAGCTGCAATCAGTGTGTAGGCGAGTCTGCTGCGAGGCTCGAATGTGCAAGTGTACAACACGGAAGGAGGTGGTGGTGATGTGTGGGTGAAGAGTGACGTTTATGTTACCTGCCCTGCAGGTAGTGGTTAAAATGTACCATCACTGCTGACAGAGGAGGACAGGAGAGGCTTTGGGGGTCAGGGGGACATTCTGGTTCTTGATCTGGACGTTGGTTGCAGAGGGGGTTCAGGTGATGAAAAGTCACAGCTCTGTCCTTACAATATGTTTACTTTTCTTTTATAATCGACTTCCATACAAATCTGAAAAGGTGTGGGCCTGTTGTTTTAAGACTGAAATTTGTATTAGTTTCCCACTGCTACTGTAACATCCTGCCTCAAATCTAGTGGCTTCAAACAACATAAATGTATCATCTTACAGTTCTGTAAGTTAGAAATCCAACGTGGATTTCGCTGAGATAAAATCAAGGTGTCGACAGGCCACGTTCCCTTCTGGAGGCTCTGGGGGCGAATCCACTTTGTTACGTTTTCCAGCTTCTAGAGGTTGACCTGCATTCCTTGGTGTGTGGTGCCCTCCCTCCAACTTCGGGGCAGGAACAGGAGACTGAGTACTCCTCACACCGCATAGCTCATCCCTCCTCTTCTGCTTCCCTTTTCCATCTTTAAGGACTCTTGTGATTACATTGGGCCCAGTTGCAGAATACAGAATAATCTTATTTTGAGGTCAGCTGATTAGCAACCATAATTCCACCTGCGGCCTGAATTCCCCTTTGCTGTATAACCTAACGCATTCACAGGTATGGGGATCAGCACACGGACATCTTTGTGGGGCCACCCCAGTTATGAATGAGTCCTTTTCACTAGCTGGAGGCAGTGTGAGATAAGAAGGAAGATGGGTACAATGGAGAGCATGGCTCAGAGGCAAGAATATGCATTCCGCTCTCCGCTTTCTCTTCTTACCACAAGTTCACCAGGTCACTGGCCCTTGTTTTCACATCTCCCTAATGAAGGGGTTGGACGTGGTGTTTCCTGAGGTGCAAGACCCACCTCTCCTTATGAAATAAAACATTTAGGATCATTAAGTACCCTAGGGCAAATTTTTAATTAAAAAAAATCATTAGGGGGACGCCTGGGTGGCTCAGTTGGTTAAGCGGCTGCCTTCGGCCCAGGTCATGATCCCAGGGTCCTGGGATCGAGTCCCACATCGGGCTCCTTGCTCAGCAGGGAGCCTGCTTCTCCCTCTCTCTCCCTCTGCTTGTGCTCTCTCTGTCAAATAAATAAAATCTTTAAAAAAAAAAAAAAAAAATCATTAGGGTGGTAATGTCGTCTTCCAATTTGGAATCGTCATTATAGAAAACCTCATGATATAGTGGTGGGTCTAAAGCTCACTAGACTTTAGACTCCTCTCCAGCGCTCTGGAGTTTGAGGATGGCCAACATTTGTGGTAGTCCTGAGAAGCTGTTGCTTCATGACATTCCCTTACCTGGGTACAGGCATGTGTCCTTCCATTAGGCCCAGGCAATGAGTTTACATTCTATTGTTTGCACCATTCTCCCCACTCCTCCTATTTATTGCCACTTAGTCCTTTTTTTTTTTTTTTTCCCAATTGGATTTGCCTTTTCTCTGCTTTTATTGGACTTTTATTCATTCATTTAGATATTTTTAGATTACCTATCATGTGCCGGGCATACACTGATGCTGAGATATGAATTAAGAAGAAAGACCCTACCACTACACTCATCGGACTGAGTCTAGACCAGTGGGTCCCCAAACATTCTTGATTATATACCTGTCAGTAAAAAAAAATGTGAGGATTCACTCTTTACTGGTATATGAAGTATGTTGTAAAGCATACCCCCAAATTGGAAATTAAATAGATGTTGTTCTCATAGTGCCTGGATAGAGTTCTCAGCTATCCCCTGAGACCCCTGCCCAAGAGAGCTGACACAGAGAAAATTGAGAATCGGAAAGTTATTAAAAGACAAAGAAATGTGTGACTTCAAGCCGTTTCTTAGCCTGGTCTTATTGTTCCTTTTGTTCCTTGCAGATTTGTTTGGTGTCTGTGTCTCAATGTCACTGTCCTTATTATTTCACTGGCCTTGCTGCCGCAGCTGGTCTGTCTATCCTGAGGATCACACTTGGAGCTTTTCCCAGGGCCTATGCTTGGATGCATTTTATTTAGATCTCCATTCCCCTGCAGGCCTCCTAGCCTGCCACCCAACCTGAGTAGTAATCCTTAAGATGAACTCGCAGCTTTTTGGAAATAACTCACATCCTTTTCCCCCTCAGGAAGGATTTGTTCGTGTCGATCGAGATTATGTCCTCAAGTCTGCGGAGCTGGCAAAAGCTGGAGGGTGCAAACATTTTAACTTGCTGTCCTCTAAGGGAGCTGACAAGTCAAGCAATTTTTTATATCTGCAAGTTAAGGTTTGTGCACATTTCTATCTTGCATATACTTTTGAGAACCCTGCCTAAGTGGCACTACAAAATAATGTAAAGTGCTAAATAATACAGAAATGCATTAAATGCATTATATTATGCATTTTCTATAGTGGCAGGGACTGTTTTTTTGCATGGATATGTTTAGTAAACAGGAGTGATTTGAAAGATAATTTCCAGTGTCTTTCCCCATGTTGATTATCCAGTAATCATGAAATGAGTTGTGACAGCTCTGGTCTTGAATATCAGTATGGAATCTTAGCATTAGAAGAGACTTGGATTCTTAAACTTTTCCAGCGTAGATGATATTTTAGTATTGGGTATGGCTCTTGTCCTCAAGGTATCTCTAATATGCTTGTTTGGGGATTCCCCAAGGCTAGACCCAAGTTTGGTAATTTGATAGAAGGTCTCACAAGATGCAATATATAGTTATATTCACAGCAATGATTTATTACAATGAAAGGCTAGGAAGCAAAGTCAGTAAAGGGAAGAGTGCATGGAGTGAGGTCCAGAGGAAATGGGCACAAGCTTCCAAGAGTCTTCTCTCAGTAGAGGCACACATGCTTAATTTCTTCAGCAACGAGTGTTGAGAAAATGAGAGAAATTTGCCTGAGCACCAGAGTTCAGAGTTTTGATGGGGTCAATCACATTGGCACCCTGAGCCTGGAAAATAATTATAAACTTCCAGAAGGAAAGCAAGTGTTCAGCATAAGCCACATCATTTGTACAAATAGTTTAGGTAACGTAAACTACCCTATCAGTTAGTTAATGACGGGGACACTCCTGAAATCCAAGTTCTTGGACACAAGCCAAAGGTCAGCCTTGCAGGCAGGACTTTCTACGATTAAAATAGAGTCTCAGCCTGCTATGTTAATTCTTCTATGCACCCTGCTAATAGAGACAAAACATATCTTCGTGAAAGCTAAGAGATTTGTCCACATAAACACTTGTATGTGAATGTTCATGGCAGCATTATTCATAATAGCCCGAGTAGAAACAGCCCAAATATCCATCAGCTGATGGATGAATAAAATCTGGTATATACATACAAAAGAATATTATTATTCGACTGTAAAAAGGCATGATACATGCGATAACATGGATGAGCCTTGAAAACATTATGCTAAAAGAGAGAGGCCCGTCACAAAAGGTCACAACTTGTAGAATTCTGTTTATATGAAATATCCAGAATAGGCAAATCTGTAGAGACAGAAAGATTAATGGTTGGCTAGGGCTTGGGGGGAGGGGATGGGAGTGAGTGCTAATTGGTGTAGGGTTTTGGGGGGTGAAGAAATAATTCTAAACTTAGATTGTGGGGAAGGTGGCATGACTCTGTAAATATACTAAAAAACATTAATTTTTAATAAGTTTTTTAAAAAGCTGCCCAAGATTGTGATGCATCAGGTGAGGTGCCAAATGAATGGTATGAACAGGCCAAGAAGGAGGAGAGCGTGCCATAAAATTCACAAGGCCTTCAGATGTCCCTGTGTCTGGCACTTCTGTTCTTGGAGATGCCTGGCATGAAAATTCATGGTTGGTTTAACAAATTTAATTTAAAGCCATCATATAGATGTAATCTCAGTCTCTTGAAATTTGATGGGATTTGTTAGGAAGATGGTAATACAGAGCATCTGGGTCTTCTGACCCACTGGAACTACCTGAAAACCAAAAAAGGTGGATGTTCATCAGCCTGCAACATTAATTCTAGACTAAGGGGAGATTATTCATTGATGGTTGAACTCCTAACACGTTACTTAGTCTCTGGATGGGTTTTAAAATCAGTCACATGAAAGGCCGGACTGACTAGGCAGCCATCCTCTCATTCAGGACATCAACTCTCTACTGCCTGTCAGGATAAACGATCTCTTCCTTAACTTCCCAGAATCTAGAATTCTAGGTAAGGATATTTACAGTTATTGAGACCCGCAGAAGCAGATTATCTTCAAAACCCCAAGTTATTCCCTCTTCAGCATTACAGTAAACTGGTCTTCTTGATTAAATACTAAAATTTGGTTTTGATTAACAGGGAGAAGTGGAAGCTAGGGTTGAAGAACTACAATTTGATCGTTACTCTGTGTTCAGGCCTGGGTAAGTGTTCATACTGCCCAACAGTACAGTACTGTTTGTCATGCCCCAGAAGTTAGTTTTTCATTTGAAGAGGCTGACAACTAAGATATCTAAGCTATGAAAGAAGTTGACTAGAGGTGGATTGCTTCTCCGAAGAACATACCTCTGGCTTTGAAGGAAAGGGTAGACCGTTTGTAGCCTGGAATTTCCTGGGTGGCTTTTGCTGCCTTAAAAAAAAAAAAAATTCTCTTCATTCACCAAATAAAACATTTCACCCATTGTATTAATCTTTTCAGGCTGCCATAACAGAATAACACCACAGACCGGGAGGCATAAGCAACAGAAATTTATTTTCTCACAATTCTCGAGGCTAGAAGTCCAAAGTCAACGTGCCATCAGAGTTAGTGTCTGCTAAGGCCTCTCTTCCTGGTTTGTAGATGGCCTTCTCTCTGTGCCCTGACATGGTCTTTCCTCTGTTGCACGTGGAGAAGTATCTGATCTCTCTCCCTCTCCTGTAAGGATACCAGTCCTGTCCGATCGAGATCCCACCCTTAGGACCTAACTTAATCTTAATAACCCCTCATAAATGCACCGTTATCAACTACAACCACACTGGGGATTAGAGCTTCAACATGAATTTGGTGGGCTGGGCACAGTACAGTTCCTAGCACCCTCTATGGTCTGAAGACAATAAACCATCTCTTCCTCTGCTTTTCTTTTTCTCTTTAGAGTTCTACTGTGTGACAGGCAAGAATCTCGCCCAGGGGAATGGTTGGTTAGGAAATTCTTTGGCTCCTTACCAGAATCTTGGGCCAGTGGGCACTCTGTGCCAGTGACAACTGTGGTCAGGGCCATGCTGAACAACGCAGTGAGCCCAAGCGGCAAGAAGAAGGAACTGCTGGATAATAAGGCCATCCATGACCTGGGGAAAGCCGATAGCTCTCTCACGCCATAACCACGCTGGAGAAACGCTTTCTACTGTAAAGCTCAACACCCGCCACCTTATTGGTACTTTCAGGGACAAAAAAAGTCAGTGTGCTTTAACTGTGGTTTCACTAGTCTCAGCTGCCCAGATCATATCAAAAATTACTGTGTTCTGCACCAGCAGTTCAGAGCCTGGGTGGACGTATGGATACATCACCCAGGGAGCTTTTCAAAAATAGAGATTTGTAGGCTCTACCTCCAACCTCTGAAGAAGAATCTTCAGGGTATGAGCGCAGGAATCTGTTGGTTTTTTTAAAGCTTCCCCTAGTGTTTCTGGTGCCACTGGTGGGACGGCCTGCTTTGAAAAGCTTCTCTGTAGTCAGAGTAGCAGCACAAACCTTATCTATTATGCAGATGATTTCTATTCTAAAATTGTCATTTGTGGGGCGCCTGGGTGGCTCAGTCGTTAAGCGTCTGCCTTCGGCTCAGGTCATGATCCCAGGGTCCTGGGGTCGAGCCCCGCATCGGGCTCCCTACTCGGCAGGAAGCCTGCTTCTCCCTCTCCCACTCCCCCTGCTTGTGTTCCTGCTCTCGCTATCTCTCTCTCTGTCAAATAAATAAATAAAATCTTTAAAAAAATAAAAAATAAAAATAAATAAATAAAATAAAATAAAATTGTCATTTGTGTCTTTGAGTTACCCGGCCCCGACTGCTGTATTTGTGTCAGTGGGCATCGTGCCTTACTACTTCTTTACAATGTATAATAAAAGTCATTATATAACCGAGCTTGTATAATTCCTGGGAGAACTAAACATAGGAAGAAAGATAAATGGACAAGTCCTGGGTGATCCTTAGAAAATGTCCAAGTATCACTGATAACGTGCAGTGTTTTGGCCAGTGGGATGATATAACAGCGCTAGTGTTTACCCGGTGCTGGCTAAGTGCCAGCCTATGCACATGCTGTCTGTCCTGTAGCCCTCCACAATCCTTATAATCCTGATGGGTGCTGCAATCATCCCCATATCTTAGATGGGGAAACGGAGGGCCCAAAGCTGAAGACCTGAAGCTAGGCTATGGCAGAGCCAGGATTCTAACCCAAGTCAGCATGACCCATAGCTTGTATTATTTTTAACGACTCTGCAAAAGCCTCCGGTATCTGTATATTTCCAGGAAGTTCCAGTTAACAGTGATTGGATGAGTACATGCTATGGATGAATAAAATTGAAATATTTGTTTTCTTTTATAGGGTTTAGAATCCCAGTAATGATTAACCACAAAATGTTCACATAGCCAGTAGAAGTGTATGTCAAGGTGCCACACTTTAAAAACTATGGAAAAGGAAAGATGCAGAAGGAAGGGTCAAAGTCAAGAGGAGTACACAGTGTTAATTTCCATCCAGGAACAAAGGATAGTGGTGAAACCCTGTCTTAACCTCTGTGCTGAGGGAAACAGTGATTTGAATGATTCAGTCCATTTTCACAGGGTCCACAGTATGCCAGGTACATTTCAAGCTTCAGTGGACATCAGATGATAAAGGCCATTCCCTTTAATTGGGGGTGTATATCTGTAGAAGGGATTAGACATTCCCATTGTCAGTCACCCCGGAAAGAGACATATTTTAGGAAGGGGTGGGGTCTTAGGATGTGGACTTTAGGAAGGAGATGGAACATTCCTCCTGCCAGGCAGGGTTCCTTTGGGGCTGGACTCTGAAGAGCCTTCGTGTTTGGGTGATAACAGGCATGGGTTCCAAGGAGTGAGGCATGAGGCGAGGGGACCCTAGGAGGACATCCTGACACCTGCGGGCTCTGAAAGCTACCCCCAGTGGCTAATTTTAAGTTATCCTCTCTATGTTATTTTCTTGCCCACAGAACCTTCTGTCAGGTCATGTTCAACTTCCTATTCTGGTCTCAATAGTGAGATGGGATGTTAGGGGTAGGGTCTGTCTGTGTTCATCTTTGGAGTAGAAAGGAAAGTGGCTCCCTCCCAAACCCAGCATCGTGGTGAGACATAAACTTAAAGGGACAAGATTCTGGCTCAGTCACCCTTCTAGACTGTATGTTACTTACTTTAGTGTGTTAACCTTGACTGGGTGTTACAAAGGAACTGAGCAGATATCCCTCCAAATATTATACACACAGGGAGAAGGTGGCCCATGCTGGAGAAAGAGTTATGTTGGAAGGATAAAGCAAAAAGGTGGATGGGCCCAGGTAACCAGAGGCCTTGAATTATTTAATTCAGCATACCGAATGCTTCCTAAGCACTCCTGGGCACATAGGCAGTATGGATTATGGATACATCAGGGAACAGTAAGTTTAACCTACTGGAGCCAGCAGCTATTCTGGCAATGTAAGGACAAATATTCAAAACTAATATTTGATAGATTCTGTCCTCTAGTTTACAGATAAGACAGAGGAGTACATTCCGAAGAGTTGAGCAATATAAGGCATCATTTTCACTAGGCAAATTTACCAAGTACCTACTATGAGTTAGGCCACCTATCATGTGCCAGAGAAACGAAAGCAAAGAGACAAGGCCCTTTGAGACAAGGCCCAGCATTGGGGGTAAAACCAAAAAAAAAAGAAAGAAAGAAAAACAAGCAAATGGTACATGCTCAGTAAGAAACTAACAGAGGGCTGCTGGAAAGACAGTGGAAACTTCTTGAGAAATGGTGGTTTGTATTTGTAGAGCATTCTTAGCAAAAGCCTTGAGGTGTGAAAATGATTAAAGGCTGGAGGGTGGGACCCAGGGTGAAGGGTTGGGTTGACATGGAAGTCAGGCAGGATTATGTGGAGCCTGGTAGGCCAAGGTAGTCAATTTAATTGGATAAACATGTGCCAGTCTCTGGAACTAGAGCTTGGTCAATTACCTACTGAAATTACTGCTGCCCACTCCCACCTAACAAAGCATTCTGTGGTTTGAGTAGATGTTAGGAAGGGGAAAAAAGCCATGAAGAACGGAATATTTGTGTTCTTCCCACCCAGCAGCCATTATGTCACTTTCTAAACGTATGGAAGGGCATCACTCCGTCGCTTAACCAAGGTCAGCTGCTTCCCATTGTTTAGGATAAAGTTAACACTTATGTCCAAGCACTTTACATGTATTAAGTCATTTTATCCTTAGAGTGGCTCTGTGGCTAGTGCGGTCATTATCCTTGTTTTGGAGGTGAGGAAGTGGAGGCAGTGAGTGGTCTTGATGTTGCTCAAGATCAGAGTGACCAAGTGACAGACGTAGGATTGAGACTGAGTAGGTTGGATCGGAGTCCATGCTCTCACTTAACCACTGCACTTTAAAGACTAAAACCCTTAAAACAGTCCTCCATGCTTTGGCACCTATGTGTGCTCTAGTACCCCCACACTGGCTCCTGCAGTCCTGTCTCCCCACCCTGCTGCACCCCAAGGGAATCAGGGAGCCCAGGAACCAGAGTCGAGTCTCAGGCCCTTACTTGCGCTCCGTCTCTCCGCCACCAGAGGGCGCCGCGGGTCTGCCGCCCCCTACACTAACGGCCCATTCCTCGAATAAGAGACGCGCAGAGGGCGCGGAGCCCATTGCAAAACCGCTGGGCGCCTGCGTCTCTGGGCTCAGGGGCGCAGGGGAGGGCCTCCCGCTAAGACGTGCCGCAGCGCGAGGAGGAGACAAAAGTCACATCAAAGTCTGCGACGCTCAGTCCAGCTTTCAGCGCCTACTCGGCGCGCGATACATCAACCTTGCCGCTGGAGGAAGCGGAGCACCGGCTCCCGCCCCGCCCCCAGATCACGTGACCAACAACCACGGCCTCGAGGCCGGAAGCGCTTCCAGGTCCGCGCGCGCGCGCGTGCGTTCTCGCGTTTCTAGGCGACACTGAGGCTCCCCGGGTTCCGTCCTTGCCTTGCGCTCGCGCTCGTTCCCAGGGTTCCGGGCCCGGTTTGCTCGGCGGCGGCCGCGCGTGCGCTGCCCAGCCCGCTCCCCGCCCCCAGGCGCGCGAGATTCCGGGGCAACACAGCCATGTGCTCGTTAGCGTCGGGCTCTGCGGGTGGGTATCTTCGGCCCCTTAGCACCGTGTTCGCCCGGCACGCAGGCCGTGGGGCGGGAGAAAGACCCTCCCCTCCCGGATGCGGTGCGGGACGGTGGGGCCTGGCTGGGAGGGTGGGGGAGGCGCGGGCGAGGGCCGCGGGGGAGCGGGGCGGAGGGTGGTGTCTCGCACTGGTGTCGGTCCCGGGCAGGGCTGATAGTTTGCATGTGCTAGGCGGCCGGGGCGCTGTGGAGGACGAGGACGACCTGCCAGAGCTGTCCGACAGCGGTGACGAGGCCGCCTGGGAGGACGAGGACGATGCTGAGCTCCCCCACGACAAGCAGCAGACCCCCTGCCTGTTCTGTGACAGGTTCGTCTTCCTTGGTGCCAGGCGCCACCCGTAGGGTGCCCGAGCCCCGAGGGTCCGTTCGTCTGAAGTCCAACCCGAGCGGCCTGCCCGCGAATCCTTGAACCAGTGGTGTGGAGTGAGGGTTTGTTGACAAAAGGAGGAAGCACAGTGCTGTAGAGGGAAGAGCCATGAACTGGGAGCCCAGGTTATGCTAGCTTCTCTTCCACAAGCCTCAGTTTCCCCTTGTGTGAAATCTGAATCTGTGGTTTCCAAACCTAGTTGTGCGCCCTTGTCACCTGAGACTTTAAAAAGATGCTGAAGCCTGCGCCGCAGCCCTTCTAAATCAGGGGTGGGGCCTAGGAATCTTCTATTTTTATAAAGGCATTTTCTGAGGTGATTCTAATGAGTAACAAGTTTGCCAGTCACTAAACCACATAATCCCTCAGGACCCTTCCAGCTTTATCATTCTGTTTTTCATTAATGAGTACAGAGCTTCTCAGGTGTAATATTTCCATTGAGCCGTCTGAAGAATCACCTTTCTTAGGTAGGGGCTCCCCACCCATTGAAGGGAAAGGAATTGATGCCTTTTTCACTTAGGAAAAAGACTATGGTATCAGTAACTTGTTCAAGGTCACAAAGCTGTGGTTTGTCTTATCTCCAAATCCATGTTTTTTCCACATAAAATTCTGCCTCTTCATCTCAGTAAGCTTTAACTTTGGTCGACGTTCTGGACAAGTGGGCGTGAAAGAGGCCTGCTTGGCATTGGCCAGTGTTACCTGAATAAACATTTTTCCAGTTTCCCATAAATCTGGGCATGGTGCTGATTGGCGGTCTATTGGTTCCTCTTGATTGTCATTGTTCTCACATGCAGCGCCCTTTGCGTAGGTACAGAATGTCTCCATATACTCCAGTTGGCATAAAATAATATTTATTGAGCATCAGGGATGTACTTCTTTGTAATAGGCTAAGTACAGCGAAGTAAACGTTTGCTGAAAACTAACTGCTGCAGAGGTGCCGAGTGTACAGAGATATGCGGCTCCTCCTTTGTGTGTTCCTATCTTAAGTATCCTTCGGTTTCGCAGGTCACATAATAAAGAGGTTTGGTCTTCACAATGTCTGTAACACAAGTACTTTCACAACACTGCAAGATCACTTTGGGAATATGCCACCTATAAAAATTACATTTTAGGGGCACCTGGGTGGCTCAGATGGTTAAGCGTCTGCCTTCGGCTCAGGTCATGATCCCAGGGTCCTGGGATCGAGCCCCGCATCCAGCTCCCTGCTCGGCAGGGGGCCTGCTTCTCCCCCTCCCTCTGCTTCTCCCCCTACTCATGTTCTCTCTCTCTCTCTGTATCTCTGTGTCTGGAATGAATAAATGAAAAAATCTTTTAAAAAAAAAAAATTACATTTTATGCTTTATTTCTAAAAGGAGTCTGAGCTGCCACAGTTCAAAGCCTCTGGAAGCAGCGTTGACACAGAGCAGAAAAGAATCTTCTGTAGGGAATTTTCATATCTTGAGAGAAACAATCTATCACAGGGAGTTCTCTTCCTTAAAAGCCTTTTGATAAATTCAGTGCTATTATTTGGCAAATAAATGAACCTTGACATTTAAAATGTAGTTAGTGTAGGGTGTAAAACGGGACTCAGAAGTACTAATTCCCTTTAGAAATGCTGGGTCCCTCTCATCTACAGGTATGTTTGTTTTTTTCTTAATTGGATATAAAATAGGAATCAGCAGAATGGGGGGGATACATATTTAACATGAAATCAATATTTAGACTTTTGAGAGGACTATTTCATAAAGTTATTGTTTGATTTTTCAGGTTATTTACATCTGCTGAAGAAACGTTTTCACACTGTAAGTCTGAGCATCAATTTAATATTGATAACATGGTCCATAAACATGGTGAGTATTTTTTAGAGTAAAGAGAATTTTAGTTGTGAAATTTAAGTTCAGACTTTATATTCTTCCAGATCTTTCCTTTCCTACACAAGCTCAGTGTAGTGAAAAATATAACAACAGCCTATCTTACAAAGTTGTTTTGACAAGTAGCCTTTGAGGGAGGACTAATTATAAGTCATTCTTCTAGATAAGATTCGCTATATTTAAGATTATATTGACTTCACAACTAAAAAGGAAAAACAACCTTGGCATGTGATTGCATTTTTATCATATTAGAATTAGGGAGAGCAAGGATGGAGGTGGACTTTGGAAAAGGAAGTGGGTCGTTGTGAAAAAAGACAACTTACCAGGTTGAAGCATAACATGAACTTCAGGGCATACAAGGTTGAGTTTGGCAAGAGTATAGAAAAAGGAGTGATGAAGTTAAGGTGATGAACAAAATATTTAGATGATTCTTTTGAAACTTGCATTTGAACATACTTCCCTTACAATTAAAGTCTGCTTCTTTAAATGGATGCCGAAGAGTTACACGATTCCACTAAAATTAACTGAATACAGAATTGTTTTTTTAGTCCCTATATTTGCTATCAACTAGAAAAGACATTAAATATGTGATAAATATGTTTATAAATCAAATTCAACCGCAACTGCTTTTGTAAGACATGGATGACTTACTGGGTTTTTTAATGTGCATTTTTAAACTGAATTGGAATCATACTTTAAATATAATTTTGTAATTTTTTTCACTTAACAAATAGAGGTTTTTGTATGCTGTTGTGCATATAAAACATTTTAAATGCTGTTGTTTCTTATGACAACATTTCTCACAACAACTAATTCCCAGTTGGTTAGATATCCTGTTGCTTTTCCTTTAAACAGTGCTTCATTTCTGGAAAGAGAACAAGCCTCATTGTTTTTTAATTTATATCATTTAACTTCATGTAAAAGCTAGTATACTTTGTATACTCCATGTCCGGGCAAAATTGTAATTTGGTAGGCACCCTAAATGTAGGGGATTTAGAGACTTTTGGCTCTAATATCAGCTGCCAAATACTTGGTAAAATCTATAACCGAATTTTCCTGATTTGTTTTGTTCTTACAAATGAGGATTTGAATTCTAAAAATTAATTTTCTGCTTTTTAAAAATGCAAGAAAAACATTAAAAACTGTTATCCATGTGGCTGTTTCTCAATTAAAATTTTCAGAAGTATTTAAGTCACTATTTCTAGTTCTTAATAAGAAATTCAAAATATTTTAAGTTATAGTTTAGAGGTTATTATTAACCAGAGAAGCTTCTATAGAATAGGTCAGTTAAACAAAACTCATATTAAAATAGGTAAATTATCTTTTTTTTTCCCCATTAGGACTTGAATTTTATGGATACATTAAACTAATAAATTTTATTAGACTTAAGGTAAGTTGGTAGCTTAATTTACAATTTTGTTTGGAAACTAAAGAAATACCACAGTGACTATTGGTGCGTTAATTTTAGAAGAATACAAAGAACTGCTATATAATCATCATATTGGGGGAATCATGGACTTTAGGAGCTGGTACAACATACAACACCAAGTAAATGAATACACACCATGTTTAGTAAAGTTATCATTTTTAACTGTGTCCAAGAGGTGAATTGATTTTATGTGAAAAAGTAATTCAGTGTCAGATAATACCCGTATTTCCTAAATCAGAAATAATTTCTAGTGTGATTTCAAGTATTGTGGTTGTCTTCTTGTTCTATTTTTAAATACTTAGTCCTTTTTTCTCTCCTATTCTAATGAATGTTTATGATGCTACTTCCCCCAAATCCAAACAATAAAAAAGTGCGAAAAACCATATTGCTTAATCTAAGCAATCGTCCAATCAAGTTAATGAAATGACAGGTGAACATAGACTCCTTAAATAGAGATTTTATGTGAAGTAGACATGGTTCCTTTTTTGGGGGCTTAATTTTCTTATTTTTTCTGGGGCGGGGGGTTGTGATTATATACAATGAAAAGACATGCAATTAATTTTACGTCCAGAATCCTACAGTTGAGTATATGAATTCCATATACAACCCAGTGCCTTGGGAGAAAGAAGAGTATTTGAAGCCAGTATTAGAAGATGACCTATTACTTCAATTTGGTAAGATGAACATACTGGGTCTACTTTAACATAGGGTCATTTGTAATGGCAAATGGTGGTTAAGTTTTCTAAGAAAATATATCATCTCCTTGATTCTTTAAAGACCTTACTAGGTAGTTGGTTTCAATAGGAAAGTTAAGTTATTTAAGAACTGTTAATTACACTGACCATTACTAGAGAGAAATTTAGAAATAGAAGTTTCTTTAAATACTGTGTACTAGATGTTCTGAAACATTGGGACACTTGAGAAAATAATTTTTAGTTGTAGACTGATTTTTCTACTAAAATTGACTAAAATTTTTATTTAGTTAAATTAACTAAATTTTAAATTTAAATTAACCAAAATTTTTAAATCTACTGATTCAAAATAATTTTATTTTTTTATTTTTTCTGCTTCAAAGTAATTTTAAAGTAGATTTAATAATATTTGCTGCTTTTGTCTGATATATTTAGATGAGATAATTGACTTTTTTTTAAAGACATCTAATTTACTGAGATTTTGGTGGTGTTTTTTTTTTTAAGATTTTATTTATTTATTTGACAGAGAGAGATAGCGAGAGAGGGAACACAAGCAGGGGGAGTGGGAGAGGGAGAAGCAGGCTTACCGCCAAGCAGGGAGCCCAATGCGGGGCTCAATCCCAGGACCTTGGGATCATGACCCGAGCCGAAGGCAGATGCTTAACGACTGAGCCATCCAAGCGCCCCTGAGATTTTGTTTTGATGCAGAACAGATTCCACGCAAATTTCCATGGGCTTACCTACATACACTAACTCTATAGCCTTCCTTGTGGCAGGGCCACTCTCATTTCTTGACTGTAGCTTTCTTACTTATTTATTCTGTGCATTTGCTCATTCCCTATTTTACTCTTTTTAAGATTTATTTATCTGAGAGAGAGCACGCAAGTGGGTGGAGAGGTAGAGGGAGATCATCTCAAGCAGACGTCCCCCTGAGTGTGGAGCTCATGGTGGGGCTTGATCCCAGGACCCATGAGATCATGACCTGAGCCAAAATCACAGGTCGGGCTCTTAACTGACTGAGCCACCCAGGCACCCCAACTCATTCCTTATTGAACAGGGATCTTGTGAAAATTCTGTTGGCTTCTTATAAATACTTTATTGTTATAACTTATCAGGGTTAATAATGTATGCTTTTTTCCCCTTTATACTGTCTTTCATGTTTCTTGTGTCAGGTGAGGTAGAGGGTTTGCTCTCTTCAGGTCAGTGAGACCATTCTAAACAGACATGTACCTTCACATACAGAAGTCTGACAGTGTGGAGTTGAGCAGTTCTCTGATTAGTGAGAACTGTGGAGAACTACTCATTTCCTTGAGAAGGACCATCGTTAAGTTGTGTGGCAGTGCGATGTAGTAGTAAGGACCTTAATGTAGGATTCAGGAACTGTGTTACCCTGGACAGAGCTTTCTTTTATTAAGTTTTCATCTGAGATTCTTTCTGGCTCCAAAATGTGGTGAGTCCCAGGTTGATTCTTTCCTGTTTTTACAAATTCTCTCTAATTTCATTTCTCCCAAGAGTGATCAAAGTGATCTCTTTGATAAATGACAAAGTGCGCACTAAGTGCTCTCTGTGACTTCCTAAATTCAAAATCATTTATTGGAACACTCACAGGATGAAAGTAGTATGTTAAATGCTTTAGAAACGTAAAGAAATGAATCCTTCCCATAGGGAGCCCATAGTCTTAAGAGTGTTTTGTTTTTAAACGCCTGTCTTGTATTATGAGGTCAAATATGGTAAGTTTTGTGAGAAGTCGAAAAGGTAGTACGGTTCAGAAGAAGAAGAGGTTATTCAGATCAACAGATATTGAATGTTGTGTCCTGGTCACTGTGGGTACAGACTGGTATTGAATCTAATTCTTCAGCGATATATAAAGTTAATTTCTTTCAGCCGTAATTTGTAAAAAGGTGATAATGACACCTACCTTATAAAATTGTTGCAAAGATAATGCATATTAGCACAGCACCTGTCAGAGGGTAAGTGCTTAATAAAGGAGAATTTATTGTTTTTAGTAAATAAATAAGGCCTACAGGAGTTTGGATGAAGAAGCCATGACTGTGATCTGGAACACTTAAAGAGGCCTAGTGAAAGAAGGAGAACTTGAACTGGGCCTGTCCTGGAGTGAACTGCCTGCATTCTCTCAAATAGTCTGTGCTCCTAGCCCTTGGTGGAGAGAGATGGAAGAGAAGGTCATCGCTCTCTTGGCTCCAAGCTTTATTACTGACCATTGCACCTCCACTGCCTTTCAGTAAATATTTATCGAGCGTCTGCTAAGTATTAGGCTTTGAGGATTTAAAGATGATTGAATTAATAAAGGAGATGACTAAGAAAATAGGCAATGCAAGTACAGTATAAAGGGGGACAAGTAACTTTACAAGGGAGAAACCTGGCAAACACTACCGTAGCCAGATAATCACATCAGTGATAAATCATGTTGCTATTATCAACTCTTTATATAATGTGATGAGAATGGCACTTTCCCTCTAGTCTTCCTCCCCAAACCAATAACCTCAGTCTAACATGAAAAATCATCAGACATACAAAGTAAGGGTCATTCTACAAACTACCTGACCAATACTCCTCAAAACTGTCAAGATCATCAAAAACAAGGAACATCTGGGCGCCTGGGTGGCTCAGTTGGTTAAGCGACTGCCTTCGGCTCAGG